TGCCTCCCAGGTTCAAGTAATTCTCCTGCCTCAGCCTCCCGAGTAGCTGGGATTACAGGCACGGGCCATCATGCTGGGCTAATTTTTGTATTTTTAGTAGAGCCAAGGTTTCACTCTGTTGGCCAGGCTGGTCTCGGAACTCCTGACCTCGTGACCCACCTGCCTTGGCCTCCCAAAGTGCTGGGATTACAGGCGTGAGCCACCGCTCCCAGCCTGAATTACATCTTAATTACATCTGCAGAGACCCTATTTCCAAACAAGGTCACATTCATAGGTACCCAGAGGTTAGCACTTCAGCATATTTTTTGCAGGGACACAATTCAGGCCACAACACTGCCTTGTAACCAGGGCAACAGAATGATATTTTTAAGACTGAAGTTGGATATTTTCATTTCTCTGCTCAAAATCTTTCATGAGGTGAACTCAGAGCACCCAAAGACTCCAGTGACCTTCGGGCTCTGTTACCTCTTAGAGCTCCTCCCTGCCCTCACACTCAGCAGTGCTGGTCTTCCCGCCTTGTTAGCTCCCTCTCTCAGCTATTGAGTGTTCCACGGTGAGGTTTCTCTGCTTGTCCAGGGTGAGTGTGTGTATCCCTAGCTTCTGATGCACTGCTCTCTATGGCCCAGTGGAATGAATGAGTGAGGCCCCCTTAGTGAGACTATTCTGAAGCTAGTCAGGCAGTGAAGACTGAGGATGCTGGGGGCAGGAAGTCATGGGCAAGCCCTTTAGTTGTGCCTGACAGTACCTGGAAAGGCCTCTGGAAGGAGATAGCATTTGAATTCTTTTCTTTCCTTATTTTAAAGAAACCTCTGTTGTTTTAAGCCATGTGGTTTGTGGCACTTCCTGGGTGTTTCCTATTTTTTTTTTTTTTTTAATTTTCTAGAGTGTCCTGGTGGTGGGCCTTTGAGCAGGTGGCAGTGCAGGAGGCCTGTGGGCACCGGGGTGATGGGTGGGGCCGTGTGCTCTGTGCTACCTCGCATTCTTTCTTTAATCCCAAGGCTTTAGTAATAGTGGGCAAGGCTTTGGGCACTGGTCAGATCTGGTGCCGCTTCCTTGTGCCCCTTTGTGCAGTGTTGGTTTGGGCTGGTAAGGTTGGAAGAAGTAGGCTCCTCTTGTGGGCGGCTTTGGTCACCCCACCACATGGTGGTCACAGCTCCCAGTGGGGTGTATTTTCTCATCTGGAAAGAGACCTTCCAGCAAGGCCAGGCAGGAAAAGGAACAGGGGACTGATTCAGTTATCTGACCTGTCAGAAGTCCAGCCCCACTCTTCACTGGCCACAGTGTGCCTGGAAGTTCTCACCAGGGGCAGAGGGCTGAGGCAGCTGGGGAAAAGAGGTGCAGGCCTTAGCCTAAGGCAGGAAGCACAAGCTTCCTGTGGCCTGTGGGCTGGCCCTTCATCTACTGTCCATGCAGGTAGAGTCTATGGAAGCTTTTGCACTTTGGTGGCAGGGCTGAGAAGTTCTAATAGAGACTTTGTAGCCCATAAAGCCTAAACTCCTTACTCTTTGGCCCCTCTCAGGAATTTTACCAGCCCACATGTGGAGATTGGCTCCAGATGATGTGTGAGGTCTCCTTCCTCCCGCTTCCCCAAACTCCTATGTGTGAGACTGTAGGGAACAGAAACCATGCAACCTGGAGCTGGCTGACCTTGGATTGAGCAGGGATTTTTGGTGCCCAGAGAGGCTGTAGGACTAGCGACACTCCATCTTCATCTGTCCCAACTATATCGACTAGTGACACTGAGTGAAGCTGGCCCGGGACCTGGGCCCCTGTCCGTTCCAGGATTCTTGGACCCCCAGCTGGTTTTAGGAGTGGAAGGTGGTGCTTCAGCTGCAGCAAAGCCTCTGGGTTTGCATCTGCTGTGAGACCGCAGTCCTGGTGTGATTTTGGAAATAATGAACTGTGAAGAAGGGTAACACGAAGTGGGGGGCTTTACATTTTACTTTTGGTGGAAAAGACCAGCCTGGGTAAGGTAGATTTTCTTTTTTTCTAGGAGGTTTAACTGTAAATACTATTACTGTGCAGCTAAATGTTGAACTTGAGGAATCTGTGTACAGCAGGCTCATTAAGATCATATTTTTTTATATCGTTTTCAGTGAAAAAGCATACAGTAAATGCTTTCATCCTTCTGTGTATTTTGATCTCTAGTCTTTTATACCCCTGAACAGAATCTGTCTTTCGTAAAGTGGCTTTGAGCCTTTAGGAGATGAGCAGTGCCTTTGGTCTGTGCCCTGCTGTACTGTCGGACACGCAGTAGGTGTTTGTTCAGTTCACTTGTCCCTACCAGGACAGTTGGGGTGGCAGGGGTACCAAACCGCAAAGTCTCTGTACCTCTAAAAATCTTGCCACTTTCCAAGATTCTCAGACCTCTGTATCCAGGCCGCTTATCCTAGAAATCTGCTGTTTTGATAAAAGCAATTTTGGCCATATTACCAATAAGTTTTTTTTTTTTTTTTTTTTTTAAGCTAGATCTTCTTTACTTTTTTTTTTTTCTTTTAATAAAAATGTAGAAACAGGGTCTCACTTTGTTGCCCAGGCTGGTCTCAAACTCCTGGTCTCAAGCAGTCCTGCCTCCACAGGCTCCCAAAGTGCTGGGATTATGGAACTAGCTAGACATTTTTAATGGTGAGAGATTACTCCCAAAGTAGTTGGGAGCAGGTTACCCCCGCACCTCCGAAGGGCCCATTGGTTGATGTGAGCATCACTGGTACTGCTCGTTTCACCTTATTGCTTCTTGTCTGAAATGCGGTTGGCCAAGCATATTCAGAAGTTGTTATTTTCCCTATTTGGATGCTGGTGGCTGGTGCCCTTTCTCAAAGTCATAGGGCACTTGCTGACCCAGAGGAGCCTGCAGGGGCTGGAGTGGCATGGTCCCTCATAGGCTGAGATGGGGAGATTAGGCATCCTGCCTCTGTGCTAGCTGCTGTGGGGCGCCAGGCACCAGGGCACAGGTGCCCAGACTGGGAGTCACTTCCTTCTTGCTATGGCCTTAATGATCTTGTTTGTTTCCTTTTTGGTTGTAACGCTGACCTTCATTCAGCATGCTGTGGAGTTTCAGACCCTAAAACGAGCCCTTCATGTGAAATTGGTCCTGAAACTTATTAACAGCACTGTGGTTCCATCTTCATCTGTCCCAACTGTGTCTACCTCGTATGTGACATGGGGTCTACCTACTTGGCTGTTGACGGATGCCACCCCCTCTTTCCCGTGGTACCTGTGTCTACCCTCTCAGAATCTGCCACTGCCGCCCTTGTGAAGAATCAGATGGCCCGACGCCAGAAGTGTTGCTGGCCTGTGGGAGCTGGAGAAGCTGCAGTGCCCTTTGTTTTTCTTTTAGGACTCCATCCCCGTGTCTACCTCTCTCCTTGGGGACACTTCCGACACGACCTCCACTGGCCTTGCCCAGCGCCTAGGTACGTACCCATGGCTGGTGCTGCAAGCCAGCCAGGTGGGAGCCCCACTCTAATGGAACCATGAGGCAAGTCCCTTTGGAAGTAAAGAATCTTTATGCTAAGAACAATCACCTCATTGCTGCTGGGAAGCTCAGACCTTTTCATGTTGTGCCTTCTTTAAGGGACACGTCTGTGCCCACCTGTCACCGCCACTGTCCCAGGGCTGGCCTGTCCCCAGAGGATGCCCACTTCGTCCTTGGCTGCGTCCTTGAGTCCACAAGCCGATTTCCCTTTCATAAGTGCATCATCTCCTCCTGGGAGAAGAGAGTGAGCAGTGCCCATTGCCCCTGTGCGCAGTGGCTCAAGGTGTAGCCTCCAGGGTCTTAGGAGGAGTCAGTGCAGCTGGTGGAGCAAGTGTCACCTCTGTGCAGGAAGGACTGTCCTTCACTCACAGTGTGATGCCCCTCAGGGCTGGGAGGGGAGACTGGCCTGGCCTGCAAGTGTGGTGTAGAGCGGGGATTAAGCAGAGACAATGAGGCTGAAGGCTCCGCCGCTCCCACACCCCAGCACATACTTCCTGTACATACCCAGGTGGGCCAGGTAAGGATGCTGTGTGTTCTGCGATGCGCAGCCCCAGTGCCTGTGGCTGGTGTGCACAGCATGTCTGTCTCCTGCCCAGGCCTGGCCATCTCCAGCATGCCCAGCTGCTTCTGCTGTGGAGTCAGTGACGGAGCCCCTCTGTGTCTTGGGCAGAGAAGGACCTGATCCCTGACAAGCCAGAACTTCTGTGTCAGTCACACTGAGGAGAATACACATGAACAGCATGGCATGTGGCCCCGGGGAGCGCTGGCCAGCGCCGGAAGGCAGGGAAGGGTGGAGCGTCCCCAGCAGGCTCAGGGCAGCGTGTGGAGAGGACGGAGGTCAGGGAGGACACAGGTCAGCATTTCAGGAACTCACAGTATCCTTTTTCACTCCCCTGGAGGTAGAGACTTGACTTGTAAGTTACTTTGGTAATTTTTAACTAGGAAGTAATTTAAAATTTACAGAAAAGTGACAAAGAAGATAGAATTCCTGCTTAGCTTTCGCCCGATTTCCCAATTGCCGTCATTCCCTCGTTGTGTTTACATCTTTTTTTTCTGAGCCACATGAAAGTAAAAGCCCCCTTTTGTGTCTGTGTTACCTTGTGTTTGTGAATATGTAAGGGGTAGCACACTTAGATGGAATAAGTTACTGTGTGGCCCTGGCTGGTGGGAGAAGGCTCAGGAAGGTATTCATATTTATACAGACAGAAAGCTGGGTGGGGTTGCAGAGAGACACTCCAGTAGAGAAGGTGCTGGGAGCTTGTCTGGCAGGCTGTAAATAACTTTTATATCAATAAGGTAAATTAGGCTCCAGAATATCTGTGAGATGGAGGCCTTGTATCTGTATGCAAAAAAGGGGTTCCCAGTATCTTGACGAGTCGAGTGTGCTGTGGCTTCCAGCATCTCTGAAGGGACTGGTGCTGCAGAGCTCAGACCAAGAAGGGGTTGTCCAGCAAAGTCCTGTGCTGTGCCAGTTGTCTGGAGCCTGGGCCTTGGCCCTAAAGTTGAAAATGCACTATAATGAAAAGGGAGCAGTGTCCCGAATCAGTATCTTACCTGGGAGATGAAAGCAAGTTCGGAAAGGGAAGGCCTGGGGGCTTCTGAGTAGCTCTGGAAGCATCGCAGGAGTTGGTGTGGCCAAGGGGACCCACCCTCCTATGGCTCTGGAGGGCACAGCTTGGGTCTGAGGGGGATGATGCCTCCACACACAGCTTTGTTTCCTGGAAGTCCTGTCTCTGCAGTTGGAGCAATTGGAATCTCAGGGGACCCCCTTGGGGTAGAGGGGATCTTCCTGCCCCGGGGAGAGGGCAGGGTGTGACTTATAGACTCCTCCTGGCCAGCCTTGGCGAGCCCCCGCTTCCTACCACATTGCCTACCTTCAGATCACCCTCTACAACAGTGGCCCCAGCCTGCCTAATGGAGCTAGGAAAGGGTGGGGCTGGTCCCCACAGGGCTGAGCAGATAACTGGGCACAGCTCTCTGCCTGTGGAGCACACTGCACCCAGCACAGTGGTGGGAGGCTCTGTGCTAAGTACTGTAAGCTGTTCTTTAACACCAGCTCTTGGAATAACCGAACAGCTGCCTTTCTCCACACACATTCCTTTTTTTTAATAAGAAAAACCGCTTTACTGAGATGTAAACACATGCCATACAATTCAGCAGCTGTCCTCAGGCAGAGGGTGGGCTCACCACCTTCTCATTTTCTCATAGGTGCATTGGCTGCCCTGTAAGGACAGCCAGTTAAGTAATACCCAAGATCCTTTGAGCCCTAAAAATCATAAGGCCTTGTACAGCAGAAAAACAGGCCTTTGGGGTCTTGGGCTCTCTCCTTCCTCAATTTACAAACAAAGCTGGAAGAGGTGTCTAGGCCATGACGAGGCCTGTGCCCGCGCCTGCACCCCTGAGCGACACCGCCTCTCAGGGTTCTTCGTGGGACTGTAGCTCAGACAGCAGCAACTGAAAGGACAGAACTGCCTGTATGAGATCCTGTGACATGTGTTCTAAATTGGCCTTTAGTAATGGTGCCGGTGGCCTGGTGTCCCTCAGCCTCACCACACCACCTTTCTGCCTTTTGGTGATGAGGCTAAGTACCTGGTTACCATATGCAGAGATGGGGACAGGTCAGTGCCTCTCCAGGGGTGAGTAGATCCTGCACTGGCCCTGGGTGTGGGTGTGGGGGAGGCTGAGGGAGGAGGCCCCTCAGTGGGGCAGGCAGCATTGAACTGCCTTAGCCTTCCCGCCCACATGTTTTCAGGGTATCAGCTTTTAGATTCTGGGCATGTGACTCTGCTTGATTTTTGCATTTGGCCCAATGTGCACCTCAGCTATTTTTTATTGATTCTGTGGAAAGGGGCCAAAACTTACATTCACTAGAAAATTACATGTGTGTCCATATGCCTATCTATATATACACACACACATGAATATCTATGTGTATATACACATACATGCAAATGCATGGAAATGTAGAATTACCATTGGGAGAGAAGTGGAACTGGTTAGGGGTGGGGTGGTGCTGAAGGAGAACTTTAATTTTTTATTTTAAATACTTTATTTTGTGTGTTTTTAAAAAATTAAGAAAAAATGAGAACACCAAAAACCCGTCTGTGTAGAGCTGAGGTTCTTAAGCAGTGCAGGGCACCTGCAGGGCCTGTTCCCGAAGACAGCTGGTCCCACATCCTGGCTTTCTGGTTCAGGAGGGCTGGGTGGGGTTCAGGAGGGCTGGGTGGGGCTCAGGAGGGCTGGGTGGGGTCCAGGAGCTGCCTCTCGAACAAGTCCCAGGGAGGCTGCTGAGGTGGGGCCTGCCCTTCAGAACCCCGGGTCAGGCGCAGAGACTGGGAGAGGCCTGAGCGACTCGTCTACATTTGCAGCGCCTGTCTGAAGAGCATCGTGGAGATTGGAGCTTTCTTCTCGCCCTCCAACCCCATCCTCTTTCCGAGCATTGCCTAGCTGCATGTGGGTGTGAGGAACATGGGCCTGCAGTGTTTCAAGAGTGGCTATACCAATGTGTTTTCTCTTTTTAGCAAGGAAGACCAACAAACAGGTGTTTGTCAGCTATAACCTTCAAAACACAGACAGTAACTTCGCATTACTTGTAGAAAACAGGATCAAGGAAGAGATGGAGGCTTTCCCCGAAAAGTTCTAGCTGAGTGGCAGCAGTGAGAATTTGTAACTTATGTACAATGTACATGTAAATAAATGGATTGAATTTTGATTTGTCATCAGGCTGCTTTCCCATTTTGTTTTTAAGGGGTTAATCTTTTGAGCTTCCTTCTCAGCAGTGTGTGGGCCAAAAGGCGTATACTGAGCCACCTGGGGAAGGTGAGGCAGAGTGGGAGGTACACACGTCCTCATTTGGGTCTGAGTGCTAGAGGTATGAAATGGGATTTTTGTTGGGATTGAAGGCTGTAATCTAATAATCTAAAAGAGTTTCAATCAGACNAGAATTAAAGTGCTTTATAAATATGCTTTAGCTTTGTGTGTGCATTCCCCAGAATTCTGCCTTGTGAACGGATGCATTGATCTCTTCATTGCAGTGACCCCTCCCCAGGGCACTTCTCTTCTTGCTGTTTTCTCCCTAAACCCTTCCTCTGGGGACTCCTTTTTTGCTGTGTTCCCTTTTGGGCCTACATTTGAGCACCTCCCTGTGTTGCCCCATTACTACATTTGTGGTCTGGTGAAGTCTGACTTCTCTAGGCTCTGTCTCCTCATCTATGAAGTGGGAGTAATCCCCACATTGCTCAATTCTTGTTAAGATTAAATAGGTAGGTAGAAATGCTTTGCAAACTATGGCAGTTAGATGTCAATTATGGTTTTATCCCCTTTTTATGGATTCATAGGCTTCGGGTCCATCTTGCTCTTCCTGTCATTTCATCGTCTTCCCTTCTTCCCTCTCTTCTATCCCCAATCCAGAGTACCTCAGGCACCTGCTTTGGTCATTTGTACTCCTTAGCCTTTAATCTTTAATCCTACCACTTGAAGTAGGTTCCAGTCTTGGCCCTTCTCCAGAGGTTCAGATGGTCTGGGGCCCAGGCTTTGGCAGGATTGAAAGCTTCCCTGGTGCCTCTGCGCAGGCAAGGTTGAGGACCACTGGCAAAGAAATTCCTAACTTTGGGGTCCATCTGAACCCTTTTGTTCAGAGGCAGATGGTTCAGGACCCTGTAACATGTTTCATCCAGAGGGAGAGTCTTGCACTGAGCCAGCGGCAGGCAAATAGAGGTGGTGACCCTGGCCAGGATGGAAAGGCGCTTCAGAGGAGTAAGTCTGTGGTTCTGGGCGCTTCTCTCCTTTGCAGACTTTCCGTGCTAACCTCAAGGCCTTGGCCAGCCTCATCGCAGCTTGCAAACCTGAGTGGACACCTCTCTGGGAATATAATAGTAAGTGACACAAAATCAGTGCTATGGAGAGAAGAGTTTGGTATAAATACTTTATTAAAGAAATATTGTCATTTTTGTTAAAAAATACTACATTAGAGAAGAGAGTTTTGGGTTACCAGTCTTTCCTCACAGAATCACAGTGTAAGATACTCATTCTTGAGACGTCTCTAGGAACCTTCAGACCACGGATCAGCAGAACATAAATGAACAAGGGAAGAAAATTCCTCTTAATTTTACTGATGGCCCCCATCTCTCAGGTGGTCTGAGAGTGGCACTCGGTAAACAGTGTGTGTTTAATCCAGCCTCTGCCTCTGCCTACCTTTAAGACCAGGACTCGAAGCAGAGTGAGCCGCCTCCCTCCACCCACCTCGGGGCGAGTGAAGACACAGCTTACAGAGGCGTTAAAAGTAGTGATGCAGTGAGGTCTGAATGAACACGGAGGACTTTATTACTCATCAGTGGTAGTGAAATGCCCTTCGTTGGATACCATCAGGTGAGGTAGGGAAGACATTCCAGAGGAAATCTGTTAATGGGGCAACATTTTTATTTCTGTACATTTACATACAAATTTTCCCCAAAGGTACAACAGATGCGACACCATGCAGACACGCAGCTGTGAAGGACAGTTCAGAACTCAGTGTAAGCTTGTGCTATGAACCAGCACCTTCAGAGAATCCCCACCCACACGTACAGAAACACAGTTACTATGTTACAACCTCAGGACAGGGAGGGAAGTGTTGGCAGCTAGACAGGACACACCATGCTGCTTTTCCAAAACACACAGGGCACATGGAAGTGAGGCGGTGCCTTCCAGACAAGAGGACAGTGGGAGTGTGGGCCTCCCCGCACGTGCGGCACTTGGGCCGGGCGATGTGATGTCACAGGCTCACTTATGGCACGCACAGTTCGGGATTGCTCCTTTGGCTCTAGGAAGTGGTGGTGTCTTGAGTGCGATACTTCCCTTCCCTTAGGAGGTTTGTTTTTGTTTTTTTTCTGTTCTGTAGCCAAACCATCTTACCAGCCCGTCCAGATGCAGGTGATCTTACTGTCAGTAAACAAAAACATTTAACCCTTTTTCCTGTTTGTCTTGGGTGGTAATAATTAGAGTATTTGATAAGAGTTTGACTTCAGGAAAAGAAGTGAAGAAATGTTCAGCTCCATGTCAGGTGTTCACAATTGTGCATAACTTTTATTGAAAGGCTGACAGGTAGGCTGGTAGAAGGCAGGGGTGTGTGGAGGAGAGTAGCAGGGGGTGGGAGGGCCAAATTGAAACACTGGGTGCCTGAGAAGGGTCTCTCTATTAGCCAGGAAGGGAACAGGACTGAGGGGCTCAAGCGTGACAGACTGCTGGGAAGCAGGCGGCTGTAGCAGCCTCCCCTGCAGAGCCCGGTGGCCTAGACGCGTGTCAGGCCTGGGTGGGCCCTGCCGCCTTGCTCACTTGGTACCAGATTTCCTGGGGCTGTGCCCACAAAGAAGTGTTGCTGCTCTGGTAACATTTCATAAAGGTGTTCCTCGGCAGCCTCAGATATCCCTAGGCTGAAGCTGCAACAGAACAGGCACCCAGCCTCCTCCCGAGGCTGCACTGGGAGGAGAGCTGTGGGACTGCCTTGCCGTCTTGAGAGACGTAACCCGCTGACCGTCGGCAAGTCAGCCTCACACCCGCTGGACTCTGGTCCCAAGAGCCCAGGCCTAAAGCTAGCCTCTTTTCCAGTCACTGATGGATTAATCCTGATGGCTGAAGTGCTGAGTACTGTCTTCGTTGGACCTTCGTTGGAGGTTTTTTATTGTCATTTGAGGTGGAGATCAGAGACCACGACCGGAAGAGTAGAGTGCTGTACCTTGCCACCACCTTCCTAGAGACTTCTGGCAGCACTCTCCCGCTTCAGTTTCTAAAAAAACTATTCGCATGACCAGTATGCGACTGCTTGCAACTTCCATCACTTAGCAAGTCCTTCCACAGTACAGCAAGTGGACTGCAGGGTGGCCTGGTGCTGAGGGCGATGGGTGCAGACGTACACACGTCCAGGTGCAGGCTTGGGGGCCTCGCGGGACCCTTCCCACCTTCCCTGCTTCCCCAACTGCCTACTGGCCTGGCTGCTGGACAGGTCCTATTCTGTGCATAATGGGATTTGTTGACAGGTAGCTTTGTAGCAAGTACTCCAAAAAAGGTAAAAGGAATTTCACAGATTTGGCACGCAAAGCCTGCACAGATCTAAAGAAAGGCCTTTGTATAGGTGAATGCAAACTAACGTTGAAACATGGAAATGTGACTTTAAAAAAGAGGGAAGGTGAGGAGGAGCTGGACGTGGAGAAAGGGGAGGTGGGGAGAGGCCGGCCAGACAGCCCCCTTCCTGGGCGTCTCAAGACCCCAGGTGTTGGTGTGGCCCAGCCACTGGAAACACGTGGCCGTGAGTCTGCTTGCCTCTTGCTGTGTCTTTACATATCACTAGGCTCCTACTGATGTGCGGACCGGATGTGGAGACACGGGTGGAGACAGCAAGAAGCAGGCCAGGTGGAAAGCTGGAGGGGAGAAAGTCAACCCCTTTTCTGCCCTGTGAATTTTAGCAACTGTCGGAAGTCAGTTCATTGTCTCACCTAGGCCTGAGACCACAATTTCCCTGGATGGACACAGCCCACGGCAAAGACATACTTTGAGAAGGGGTGAATTGAACAATTCCAGTAAGAAGCCAGGCTGTCCAGAAAAGCTGGTGCCCAAGTTGCTGTAAAGTGGTGCCTGCCTTTACCAAGGAGGCTGTCTCTTAGCGGCCCTGGGTGTCCTGCAGGATTCCTCTGAAAATGCCAAGAGGAAACCTTCACTTTCTGGGGCGAAACGAGGAACACAAAGAAACCCTTGGAGATCGCGGCAGGGGCAGCGTTGAGCTTTGGTGAGTTATTGCTTTCTCTCAATTTGTATTGGTGCCTTTGAGAGGCTGGAGGTCATTTGTACTCACCTATGAGGATTCAATCTTGGCTCCCTGCCCGAATTCCTGCCTCTGTGCTGAGCGAATGACTAAAAGCAGGAAGCCGGCCCAGGAAGGCAGGCGTGAGGGGGCCCAGCTCCTGCAGGTTCTTCCTGGAGTGATGTCTGAGGTGACGGCCATCTAAGCTGGTGATCTTCGTGGTGTGTGCTCGAGGTGTGGGTGATGGGTGTGTGTGGGAGGGCAGCCCCGCTTCTGTGGATTTGCCTCCACCATCTTTTTGAGTTATTTTTCTACTGTTTGTAGCTTTGAAAGGAGCCATGTTTTCAAGTAGTGCTGGCACAAGGGCTGGCTGTGCACGAGCGCTGTTCTGCTGGAGCCAGTCTGGGAGAGGAGGAATAAAAACGAGCACAGCTCAGGCCTCGACGCATCTGTTAGCTGTGTACTCACAAACCTGTGGCGATGTGACTGCTGCTCGGTTAAGATTTCTGGTGAAATGTTTAAGCTTTTTCTCCAAGAGCTTTCAGCATCAAGTACAAAAGGATGATCCTGAAGGAAAGGTGAAGCTGGTTTTAATGGTGTCTGGGGGCTGTTTTCTCCTGCACATGGAACAGAAGCTCTTACCTTACAAACAGAAAGGGAAAAAGGACCTTAAAAAACCATCACAGACTCTCTAGCAAAAGCCTAATTCATGTACATTTCACTCTGTCTAAAATGCAGTCCTGGAAACGCTCCACGGTCATGTCCTGCTTCTGCACACAGGCAGGCGGCGTGGGGGGTTCCTGATGGCCGAGGTAACATCTGGCTCCTGGGTGCTGCCAGGAGCTGCGTCCCATCTCTGGAGAGGGGCGGGCCACGGCCGTGATCACTGTAGCATCTTCCCAGAGTGCCTGTGTCTCGCTGCCGAAGGAGGTGATGCCACCTGTGATC